AAAAAAAAAAAAAAAAAAAAAGGGCCAGGGAAAAGGGGCTGCTGCTCCTGCCCTTTTATATGGCTTCTCTGTGGTTATGGCTCTCAGCCTACATATGGGAGACCTGCAGGAATTGGCCTTCTCTGACCAGGAGATTCATCCCACCACATCTATGGATCTTTTCAAGCCAGCTGCAGTTCGCTTGTCATTGAGATGACCGGGGTGGCAGCCTCTGCTCCAGTGACTGGCACACACACGGTCCTTGTCCTCTCACCCAGGTGAGCACTAGAGGTTCCCAAACTGCTGCTTAATGACACGCAAGGAAATAGCACAAGCAGGTGGACAGAACAAATCAGTCTCTTTCTACTGGGCTCCCTGTTGGGCACCACATTATTCAATTCCTACCGCAGCAACATCCCACCCACTCACAAAAGTTCGCCTACAGAAGATGTCTGTCTTCAGCATCCAGAGCCCAGCATCGCAGGTGGTGGAGAATGAGCCCATCAGTGCCGTCCTGGCCCAGCTGGCTGAACGTTGTGGGAGAGGGTGTCCACCCACCTGCTCTCCTGTGCTCTCAAAGCAGTGACTGGGCTGTGGGAGCAGCAGCTGGGGACTTTTTTTTTAAGTCGCCCAATTGGGTAAGAATCACCCCCTTCCCTGGCTCTTGGCACCCTCTCCCCTCCCCTCAGCAGCACCTCCACCCTGTCTTCCCCCCTCTCCCCTCCCATTCACTGCACCCCTGCCTGCCAGCGCCATCATCCCCAGCTGCCCAGAAGTGTGGGGAGCTCCAGAGCTGCTCCTGCACTACTGCAGCCAGGCTGTGCAGGGAGCCAGGGACAGTAATGGTGGCTGGGTACCCCACCTGAGCTACTCATGGGCTGGTGGGGAACCTTGGGGGGAACTGGGCAGGAAAGAGGAGCCTACCTGCCCCCACTGCCGAGTCCAGCTGCATTGGAGCGGGAGTGGTTCTAAAGCTCCCCCTGCCCCCAGGTCAGCCAGGGACAGTCAGCAAGGGAAGGTGGAAAAAGTTGCGGGGGATCATGCTGCCAAGCACGGAGGGGAAGAGAAGGATTTGGGGACCTAAAAATCCCTGGCTACTTCTCCTGAGACATGGTCTGAACAGGGGGTGTGACTGCACCACAACAACCCCTCTATATCCGCTCCTGGACTCACCATCTGCTGCCCAGCTGGAGAATGCAATGCATGTACCTGATGCCATTCATTATGCATGAAGCTCGTTACCTTCAGATGCGAGTCAGAAAGTTGCATCCTATCCCATTCCCACAGTGGCTGGTGATGGACATGCAACCCCAGCACCATCAGGAGAAGGCTCATGCCAATGTTGACAGCCTGCCATATATACATGGATGTCTTCAACACAGCTGCAGTTCACTGGTCATTGAGATGACCCCTGTGGTACAGCAGGCCACTGAAAACAGAAGACTAAGAGGGAATTTGATAGTCTTCAAATCCCTGAAGTGCTGTTATACACAAAGGATGGGGACAGGCTAGTCCCAACTTGAACAACTCCCTTGCAAGGGAGTCCTAGACTGTGGCATGAGCCTAGAACCAACACAACCTCTCCACCTTCCACCCCAGCTGAGGTGCTTCCCTCATGGCAGGACATGGTAACGTGTGCCTTCAGAAGGCAACCTCCCTGGAGCAAAAGACAAGCACCCAGTAGAACAAGGTGTGGTGCCCCATGGCCTGCTTCCCCTGCGGGGAGGATGAGAGGACAGGTGACGACACAATCCTCTTGCTTAATGAGCTGCTGGAAGGCTCTGGGGAAGACCAGGCAGAGTGGAAATGCTGTGAAGGGGCCCCATTACCTGTCAGATGAATTGTGCCCCCAATCAGTTAAAGGCATGGAGGGGAATGTGGGTGTGAGAACACAGATGTGCCGGAGAGTCACGGGAGTAGGGCAGCGAATGCGGTAGAGCTGTGCTCCCAGCAGGGCAGAGTAACCTGGGTAATCCAGGCTGAGGGTAGCTTGGTCTTCTCTGTCCTTTTCCTGTGGATAAGGGACTCAGAGACTGAACAGCTGGATAGATCATACTGAGTTAAAAGTACCTGTGTGTGCTGGGGGAGGGGGGTGCCTGTGGGAGACTGTCATGTCTCAGGTGCTGTATGGTAACAGCATCATGTGCCCACTCCTGTCCAGGGGTAGATGGGAACCAAGTTGGGCAGCTTACCTCTGAATGCCCCCGGGCTCTGTAACTGTGGCTTAAACTCCATTTACCATGAGGTAGGTGGTCACCATGGCTGGTTGGACCCCTCTCTCCCATCTTGCCTAATTTGCTCATCTGTCCATGCCCCTCGTTGCCAAAGTTATCCCTATTGAGACCCACTAAGAAGTCCCTCCTACCACGCGTAGTTGCTGTACGGTATGCATCAGGGTACCTGGCAAGGCACAGGCATTCATGCCACCACTGCCTTCAGTGACCTGTTCCATGGTTGGAAGGTCGAACCCCCGTGTACACAGCTTGGATTACCAGCATGGCAGCAGGGGGATGGAGCAGTGTGAATGCAAGGCTGGAAGGGTAGATCTCATTTCAGTAGAGCTACTTGAGGGACCAGTGAGGTCTGGTCGTTGAATTGAGCAGACATACTGGTGGCAGCGGGGGGAGGCATTGGAGAGGAAGGGGTGCAAGTTGCTGTACCTGAGCTGCTTCTATGGCCCCACCTAGCTGCCCACTCACCCCAGACTGTTTTCTTTCCAAACCTATCCTCAACAGAACTCCAGGAAATTCTTTGTCTTCACGTTTCTCGGCTCCATCCTCTGGATCGCCATATTCTCCTACCTCATGGTGTGGTGGGCTCACCAGGTAAGGGTGTCTCTTTCTGTGTAAGCCAGGGGCCAATTCAAAACCAAGCAGATGGAAAGATGGGGAGCACTGCACTCCTGGGGCAGAAGGAGCTGGTCCTCAGGGAATACCAGCTCCCCTCACTTGCTTTCTCCATATTGCAGAAGTGCAGTCAAGCTGAGATATAGCTTAATCCTAACATTATCTCTTCATGGACGCACATGTCCAGGCAGGACAGATTATCCCTCATCTCGCTAAAATTCTACAGAATATAGACCCCGATCTTGCTAGATAGTAAGTAAGTGACCTCAACTCCCATCGCCTTGGTCTTTGATATCCAGAGGGAGATGGGGGTGTTCAGCACTGTGCAGAACTGGGCCTATCATCTGTGTGGTGGTATACGGCACACCCTGTTTATAGCCAATCAAGCTATAAATTCATCTGAACTGTTGGCTTCTGCCTGGAGCCTGCAGATACCTATCGCCAAATGGACTGGCTCCCAACTCCAGTACTGTCGTGCGGATAAGGACCACTCTCAGCCAGTACATAGGTGACACTTAGGCCAGTTTTAAATTTGTTGCGAGTCAAGAGAATGCCCATTCTGGAGGCCTTTGAAGAGGCATGATGGGCAGACACTTACCCATGCCTGAGGCCTAACTTTGCAGGTAGAAGGGGTTAAGGCAAGACAACACACACCAAAAGAAGGGACTTGAAGTCAGCCCCGCGCCATCGCATTCACACTGTTGCATTCTGAAAATGAGAAATAGGCTTTAGCACTTCGGAGAACTGACCCAAACATGGCCACTCGCCTGTAGGCCTGGAAGAGGGAATTAAGGACCTTTTGTTCTTGCTGTTGATTAGGTTGGTGAAACAATTGGGATTTCAGAGGAGATTATGGGCTTGACGATCCTGGCCGCAGGGACTTCCATCCCTGACCTCATCACAAGCGTCATTGTTGCTCGCAAAGGTTTGGGTGACATGGCTGTCTCCAGCTCTGTGGGTAGCAACATCTTTGATATCACTGTGGGGTGAGTATTAGCCCTGCATTAATGTGTGTTTATGTGAAAGTTCAAAACACTGCATCTCTTTTCCAAAGAAAGTCTTGTTTGTTAGTTCTATTGTAGCATAAAACCAGCAGAAGGGCAGCTGGGCCATCCATTACCCATGGTCCTTTGAAAAGTGTTTTTTTAGTTAACCAAGGGAGAAAAAAAGATTCTACATGCCAGTGAGGGAAGACGGTTCAACACCTGAATGCCAGTAAATCGTTCCGAGTCTCCAGCATGGAAGGCACTACAGAAGTGTAGAAGGTCATCCTCCCAAACTACCTTCCAAGGGTGGAAAGCAAGAGAAACCCTCATGAATCTAGATCAAGGAAGGCTATGCGCGTAGTTGCTCTGCGCACTGTATCAGTGTAGATTTGCACTTAGCATGATCATCTTTAACACATCTTTTCAATGTTTTCCCCCTTGCTGCAGTCTGCCAGTTCCTTGGTTCCTTTATTCCCTCTTCAACGGATTCAAATCGGTTCCCGTCAGCAGCAATGGCCTGTTTTGTGCAATCGTTCTGCTCTTCCTCATGCTCCTGTTTGTGATCATCTCAATCGCCACATCCAAGTGGAAGATGAACAAGTTCCTGGGGTTCACCATGTTTGCTCTGTACTTTGTGTTTCTTATTGTCAGCGTGATGCTTGAAGATAGGATCATATCCTGCCCAGTATCTGTATGAAGGCTGGACAAGCCAGGACACACACATTCTTGTAAAGGAGATCTCAGTGTACACATAAATGAATGCAAGCAGGGGTTTACGGTAGCTCTGTATTTTACTGATTCGAAACAAACTGCCTGCAAACCCGAGCTTTACTGACCTTTTGACAAATTCATGCAAGTTTTGTTACCAAGATGTTTGAAAACTAAACACTTAAAGCTTTGTCTCTAAACAACCCAACTGTGTTTCTAAGTGTCAAAGCAGCAAGCCTGATGCACTGAGCCCTGCCAGGATTTACACACGTGCTATGTGCTGAGAGTGGCAGCTGACTTCAGGGTAACATTAATCACAAGTGTACACTTTTGCAGGATCAGATCCCAAATTGATCATCAGACTGCTCCATCTTAAACCTGTGAAAGTCAATAGAGCTTCATCCTAGCTTTCAATGTGCATGGGTCAGACCCCCAGGGAAGCTTTATACAGTGAGAAGAAGTGCAGGAGAGCTAGTCAGGAACAGCAATTCTGCACAAACGCGACATTTTGGAAGTGGATTAGCCTAGTGTCCATGCAAGGAGTTACTACTGTGCTCTAAATCTGCATCATAGCTATTTCACAAGGACTTCCCCATAGACATTTGCCCTGATAGTGAAGTTCATCTCTGTGGATAGGGCCAGTACAAGCACCTACCTGCTAGTGACCTTCTATATCTCCCCCATCAAAATAGGGCTTAAATGGGATCTACCTCTGATACAGGAGCCTTATGCTGGCCCCTCTGAACAGGGGAGGGGATTTCACCCTGAAGATTTTAGAGAAAGAGCATGAAAAGCCATGTCTGTACTTAGGAAAAGATTGCATTTGCCAGGTGTGGAGCAGGTCTGAAAAGCCAATCTGCTCCTTTCTGAACACTGCAGGGTCTAATCCTGCAGTGCATTGGTGGAGTCCAGCAGAAACCACTGGGGCCCTGCATGGACAGAAGAGGTTGCGAACGCAGCTTTGCAGATCCAGGGACTGGAACAGCATGTGGCACAGCAGTGCAAGGCCAAGAAAGCAGGAAGTGACACTGTTCCACAAGAGGAAGCTGAAATGCTCCCATTTGCTTTTCACTCCCGGACACCAACTTCTGACACTTACAGCATTTGCATCCAGCGCCCGCCCCTGCTGTTAACACGAATGTCTTTTGCAGAACCATGCTATGCGATTACTGTTCATGTAACTGGCATCCACCATAAATCAATTAACCTGTATGGTTTAAAGTTACCAAATGCCTCAGTTAAACAGTAGCATAGTGAAACATTACAGGCACTTCTGTCATTCTTAAGCCATTTAATAAAATTTAAATGAAAATAACCATATTGAGATATTTTAGTTTTTTATTGGATTTATTGTAAAACTCTGAATAGATCCATTTTATCTTTTTGGATGAGACAGAAAAAGTTTTTTTCCCCCCATCATTGTGAACATTGACCTATGTACTTTAAATGAACTACAATCCAAAATAAACCTCCAACATACTGATGTTTTTGGTAAATACAGTGTAAACGTTACATATTTACAAATCTACAGGCATTCATTTAAAAAGTGCTGTTTGCAGATTAACTGAGTACCATTTTGAAATCCCAGTGAGATTATAATACTCAGAAATATCCCTCTCTCTGAAACCAGCAATTGCATCTTCCATTTCTTATACAAAGATTTTACAGGCAAAATTCTTTTTTTTTTTTTTTTTTTTTTTTTTTTGGGGAAAAAAA